GTTGTCGTGTTCTACGACGATTAATCACAGATGCGCCCTTGATCTCGGAGCAAGACTCGAATCAATGCATAAGGAAGCCAGATTTCTTATTTGGTGACTCGGTAAAAGATCCGAAGATTGCTTTCTGCCAGCCTGCGCAATGGTTGCACCAGAATGGGTCCTCATTCTTATATCTGCCTTTTATCCCCCGGGATCACTCACTATTAATGTTCAGGAATCTATCAGTTGGACGTGAGATGTTCTGGAAGTTGACTGAAAATCACGAGCGTATTCATTGTGGTTTTATTGGGAAGGAAGCCAACCCAGGCTCCAGTGAAAGAGCTCATGTGCGGGGGCTTCATCCGGGTATCTTGGGACAAGATAATATACCTCAGAATGAAAAGATAGTGCAAGCCAACACCGTGAAGAACCGGTTAGCGGCAGCGGGCAAAAGATTACCCAAAGAGACTTTTAGATGCTATGGATGGGTCCATTATTCTGGGGACAAATGGTGGTGGACCAGGATGACCCGATATGTGTTAAACCGCTTTGGGCGAGAGTTAGCAGAATTAGGGTTAGATGTCCCGATTCGTGCCACCATGCATGGCCTACAGAGTAGTGTAGGTCATTTCCTCTGCTTGTTCGAGATCTATAACCCGGACACTAATACATTCTTTACCAAGAACGGGGAACTCGGATTACCACTGCATGAAATGATGCAGGTGTCTGGTTTGCCTATGGGCGATGTTCCCTATCAAGAGTTCTTTCCAACTAGCAATCAGCTGAACAAGATGAAAGATAGCTCAACTGTGACTCATGATACTTTATGGGAATTGACTTGCCATTATCATATAGCCATGGCCGAGATGGAGCCCAAAGCCAGAAAGAAATCTCCTCAGGTCAGCTTAAAACAATTCGCTGACTACCTCTTCAAGAACCTGGATGTCCGTTCGGCAGATGTGTGCGGATTGTCTCCTTTGAGTACGGATGAAATTAACCGTCTGTTAGAGAAAACCAACGCGCAATCTTATACTTCGCGCTCAGAAGATGGATTTTTGCACGGCACTAAGTTCCGCTCTTATCTGTGGCAAGCTGGTGTTCCGATTAGCCCTACTGCTCTGCTGGCGGGTTTTCTAGCCTTATGGTTAAAGAGATGTGTAGTTCCTCATCAGTCCGCAGATGCGATGCCAATGGAAGTGTTGTATCCGGCCGTCCAGCTAGTTACAGGTCGCAAATTATCTTTGCTTCCCGCTATGGTGGCCGATATTCATAGTGGATTACGGCAATTAATCTCCGTGTTTACTCAGGAGAAAAAGAAACCCTCTGCCAGTCTGTCCGTTCCGAAGCTGGAGCTACCTTATACTTATCTGATGACCTGGTTAGTACTTCATCGACCAGATTTAATGGAAGCTCCTGAGACGGCAAATTCTAGCATCCCTCTGTTGCAGAATCTCGAGAATTGCAAATGGATCAGGCATCAAGAACCCGACATAACGAGGCAGTTTAAAATTCACAAGTGTTGGGAATTCTTCCCCTGCTTCCCTCAATTCTCCGGTACCTACAATACTACTTTAGTAGATGCTGAAGACCCAAGGCAGAATCGCACTATCTTGGATGTCGGGTGCTTCAGATGGTTGATGAATATTCGACCTGGATATCTGTTCTTCAGAGTAAGGGATGTTTGCCACATTGAACCCTATCTCCCATGTCGATTCGCCCGTCAATTCGGGTATGATCAGATATATGTCGGCAATCCAAACCGCCACCTTAGCTTTCGAGGTGGACTTATCGATGGTGCGAGGGCTTGGTTCTGGAGCATTGCTGGCTGCACAAATGTTGAATTTGATCTTCCTTTAGAGGCGCCGCCCCTAAGGATGACCTTTCTCTTCTGCAAATGGCTGATAGCCACCAATATTGCCACTCGACGTAGGAGGATATCAGACTCAGAGGAGGAAATAGCTCCACGACAAGCAACAGAACCGCCTCGTGAAGCTGTGATGTCGCCTCGAGGAAAAGAGGCTGCTGAATCATCAAGGAAAGGAAAGGAACCGGCTCTCCCAGTTGATAGTGAAGAGGAGTTTGATAGTGAAGCAACCGAAACTTCAGAAGGGGAAGACGAGAATGAATCAAGTTCTGAGGAAGTATCTGGCCTTCCCGATTCATTCTTTGATAGAGGACTTGTAAGGCCTTCTGTTTAAGTGCATACTAAATTTGTAATTTTTATATTGTTGTTAATGTTTAATTATTTTCTTGTATTTTATTTTCTGTTGTGTTCTTGAATGTAATATTTTGGTAATATCAATAATAAAAATATAATATTTTAGCAATCAAGTTATTTTAATTAATAAAATAATATTTTATTGTTTTATTAGGTTAATTTTTTAAATAATAAATTATTTTGTTTGGAAAATATGTGAAAAAATAAAATTTGATATGTGGGGTTAATTGTTGAAATAGTTAAAAATATAGGGAATAAAAAATAATAATATAAAAGTAGATAAAAAGAAAGATACTGAGAATATTCCTTTTTGGTGCAAAATATGGTGCAGTGGGTTGGAGATGAATTACTGTTAGATGTGATTTTTGCACCATTTTGGTGCAAAATTTGCACCATTTTGGTGCAATGGGTTGGAGATGCCCTAAGTTATTCCAAATTATGCTAGACGGAGTTTTTCTTATGAAATGAGAATTATTCTGCAAGGATATAAGCATGATGCTCTTCACTAGTATCAGGTCAGAGGAGTATGCATATATATCTCCCTTCTGTAAGTTTCCATAAGGGGCTGTTTGGTTGTATGTTTTTACCATGTAAAAGGACAGAAAGTGTAAAAAAATGGGTCCCAATATCAGTTTTCATCACTTTACATTGTTTGTTTAAATTCTCTTTTACATGAAAAGCTTATACCTTTTGATGAGGTGTCACCGAAAGCAAAATCACCAACATTAGACCATATGCAGCAGCGGGTTTTTTGTGGGATATTTGAAGGCAGCTGGGGTTTTTTGTGCGGGTGAAATAAATGAGATTGGCCAAAGGGTGAAAAATTCACCCCAGACTTTTCTGACAAGCCCACGCGCGCGCGATGATGCCAGCGGACACGTGGCGAATTTTGATTGGGCGAGCTTTTTTTTTCCTCCTTATTTTTATTTGATATTTTTTGAGATAAATACAATGAATTAATTTATAATTTTTATACCATTAATTTTTATTTTTCAAACTCTATAAATAGAGACTAACTTTAGGTCATTTGGACACCAAAAAAAATCTGAGTTTCTACACCCTATTCTTCTTCTTTCTACAATTTGAAGCTAGTTTCTTCATGGATCCTTCACAAAACTATCCTAATTTTTCCTACAACTACAACTTTCCTAACCAACCTCAAAATACCCTCCCTCAACCACAACATCCAAATATACAACGCCCCGAAAATACTCAAAATACGGGGAAATTAAATTAATAATATATATTTAAATATTATATATTATTTATTGAATTATTAATAAATTATAATTATAAATATATGAGTTATATTAATAATAATAATAATAAAATAGTAATATATATGAAATAGGAAAAAGAATGAATAAATATGGTGGGGTATATGTTGAAGTGATGTGGTTTATGGTGGGTCCCAAATAAAGTAAAAAACTTTCTGAAAAATCTCCTGCTGTAGAGTTGATAGAGAAATAAAGATTATTGAATTAAATAAAGTGATGTGGCAGGAGAGAATGAGGTGAAATTTCACCTCCTTTTGGAGATGGTCTTAGGAGTGATTTTGTTGGAAATGTGACACAATGTCATAAATGTGTCCAAAAAAATAATAAAAAAATCAAAACATTGTAGAAAGTGGTGAGGTGGATAATGACTTTCCATTTTGTGTCATAAATATTCTAGTTTACATTATACTATACAAACATTGTAATACTATTATTTTAGGATTCACAAAGATTCCTAACCAAACAATGTAAACACTTAAATAGAAAGTAGTGAGGTGGATAACCACTTTCTATTTTGTGTCATAAATACTCTAGCTTCCTAAAGGCATCCAAACAGCCCCTAACTTGAATTTGGCAAATTTGGGGATGCACATGGGAATGACAGTACACCAGATTCTATAAGGTTCAGTACATCATTCACTATAGTTTTTTTTTAATACAGTTCTCTTGTGAACCAGCCCAATCATAGATCACAACCTGATAAGATTGGTGTTCAAGACCTGGATGTGTGTGTTCATTATTTCCAATAGTTGTAAAGTTGAGAACCATTAGTTTGTACAAAACTTAGTAGATGGATTTTTTCTTTTTTCTTTTTGAAAAAAAGTATTTCGCGATTCCTTTTACTAAAACTAGATTCTTTGATATATGATCAATAATATATATGTTAGGCGTTTCATCGAATGAACTTCCATTTCTTATGCCTGTTCAGAAAAGTTTCTGGTTTATAATATAAGTCGCATCATAAATAGAGATCAGCTTCAATCTTTTTTAACCCCTCTGGATAAGTAATTAAGTAATTGATATTCTTCAATGTCTGCTGTTGTTAGTTATATTTAATTGTCAATATCCTGTATAATTTGTTCCCTTCATAAGGTCAGCTCTCATCTTTCTTGACTTCCTGGATAATTACTCGATGGTCCCTAATTCTTCATATTTGTTTTATGCACGATTTGATGCTTCTTTCGGTTTTCATGCACGATTTGATGCTTCATCGTTTTCGTTTCCTTCGTTTTCCGCCATTTATTGCCAGTATCTCAAGCCCGGTAATGCTTATGATGTAACTGTGTAGGATGTACTCTTGCAACTTCCTAGCTGTTGTATAGAAAGATGATTAGAAAGCATTTTTTTTCTTATTTTGTTGATTTTGATTCAGAATTGCGTCACCAGCGTGTCAGTCAATAAGCTGTTCATTATATTTGTATAGAAAGATGAATATAATGATTACTGATCAATAAATCCTCTAAATTCATTTTTATGGTCAACAAATTGCCAAAATTGACTGGAAAAATTGCCATCTACATAAGAAACTACTCTACAATGTACTCTTTGAACTTGTATTCTTCTCTCTGAAAAGCAAACGGCACCCTGCACTCGCTATAGCAACTAGCACACAGACAGAAATGTGAACTGGTCTCCTTCAACATCAATCCACCAACTCTATACTTACAAACTCCACAAGAGTAATTACCCCTTCGAGCTCTGTCGCCAGCCTCCAACTTAACCAGGGAGCTCATCACCCCAAAACCTCGATCTGGGTCATCGAACCAATCGATGAACTCACGAAATGAAATATCCACATCTTCTCCGCCTCCACTGATTCCAATCAAATCGGTAAAACCTAGAGAGGGAAGATAGACGACCCTTAGATATCTCAAATAAACATGAACTTTAACGCCGCCGTTTGATGCTCGGCATAAAAGAGCCTCAAAGGCTGCACGCTTGCGTTTCTCCGGCGAACCATAGCATATAGGTGATATAATAGCGAAGAACATCTTGTAGTCTATCTTTCCAGAACCCGTAACATCCAATACCGCCCAAAATTTCCTGTCGATTGCTCTCACCGCACTTTGGAACGTCTCGGGCGGTAGGAAATGCAAGAGCCTGCGAAGAACAAGCTCGAGTTCGGATTTCCTTATCGATCTTTCGCTTGTCCTAGCTTCAATTCCTTCCATCTCTTTCTTCATAACCTCGACACCGCATCCCCCTAGCTTCGTCGCTCTCTGAATCTCTCGAATCCGAAGTGCATCGATCAACAATTTTCTCTCGCCGGTTTTCTCACCGACCAATTTGAACTTAGAGGCATCCTCGACTATCCAACTCACGCTGCAACCCTCTTCGCGTCTCCTCTTCAGCATCTTCAAGCGTCTCAGAGCATCATACACTTCTATCCGATTCGTCATCCTAAAAGCTTCGCTCAGTGATTTCATCGCTTCTCGATCCTCGCCCGAGCCCAGTAAACACACGGCCCGATTCAGCTGGGCCCGCCAGTGGTCCGGTCGAATCTCCAAGACTCTGGCGTACATCTCACTCGCTCTCCGGTGCCTGCCGACGTCCTTAAACAACCCGCCGAGATTGTAAAGCGCGTCCAAATGATCGGGTTTGAGATCGATCGCCCTCTGAAATGACAGCATTGCCCTCTCGTCGTCTCCGACCGAATGAAGAACCGACCCGAGGTCACAATGTGCATCGGCGAAGTCGGGTTTTAAAAGAACCGCCTCCTCGAGAGCTTTCTCTGCGGGAAAATAATCTCCGACGCCAAACAGAGCGCTGCCTAAAAGCTTCAAAGCTCGGTAATGGGCAGGGCAAAGGATCGCGGCCTCGCGATAATGCTCGCTGGCGTTGATCAACAGCCCTTCGTTTTCCATTGCGATCCCCAAATTTACGTGGACTTGAGGTAAGAGATTCGCCCACCTGATCGAATCGCTCTCCGCTAGCTTCAGAGCGGTGGAGTAGCGATCTTTCGCTTCCGACGATCGTTCGAGCGACATTAGGCTGTTACCCAATTGATAATGAGCTCGAGCATCTGTCGGTTTGAGCTCGATCGCCCTCCGAAAGCTCCCGATCGCTTCGTCGAGCAGTTTCCGATCGTGGAGCGTCCTTCCGATCGCCATGTGGCCGGCAAAAGCTTCGTTTGTCGTCGACGACTGGTCAATTCTGAGACGGATTTCTCTCAATTTCTTCGAGAATGCTCTGGTTTCGCTCGAATTCTCGTCTCTTGCTCTGTCGATCTCCGAACTGAGGTCAGTCGACCATCCGCCGAAGGGGATCGGATCTTTTGCGACGGCGCTCAGCCTCGAAGCCCTAATTCGAGCTTTAATCGCAATCTCGAGTTCCTCAACCGCTGTCCGGGTACTCTCGTAGTCAACCTCCTCATGATTAGGGTTAGGGCTTTGGACGGCGTCGAGGTTAGTGTCAGCGTCTGGGAAAAGGGCGGCGAAATCACGGTCAACGTCGCCGGCGCCGTCGTTGTAGGTCTGGATCAAGCCGACGAGAGAGAGGCCGACGCTAGGGTTTGGAATGAAATCGGAGTAAGATCGGAAAACCTCGTCGACGACGGAGGGGAGCTGATAGGGGGTGAAGTTGACGGCCGGCCCGTTAACGCGGCGACTAGCTCGGCCATTTCTTGACGGTCGAGGGCGGCCGTCTCCGTTAGCGTCGAAGCGGTCGAAGATTAGGCGGATTTTTCGCGCCCGTGACGGCGGTCGGTCGATGCCGTTAGAGATGACGGGAAACATGGTTAAGGGCTTGGATTAATGAGAGGGATTAGTGAGTAATTAAAGATGGGATTGGATGAGCTGGGTATTATTCATAGGGAGTAGGTTTTAATGATAAAATGTCGTTTTTATCCATTTGTTCATGCCACAGGTTGGAGTTTTTTATTTTTTATATTTTTAGTTGTTAGGTTTTAATGGTTTTTCTTGAGTAAGTCAATAGGTGTTACATTCTTGATCGTTATAATGTTTCTTATTATTAATCATTCTAGTTATGTTCGCCTATCATAGTAAGTGATGAATCATAAAATTGGATGATTCATTTCGTTCTTACTGATCTATACGTAGCTATTTAAGGGCCTGTTCGTTTGCCTAAAAAAAAAAGGGAAATCAAAGAAATGGAAAACTATTAAAATGAAGAATTGTTTTTGGAGTGTTTGGTTGGCTAAAAAAGAAGGAAATCAAAGAAATGAAATTGAAATGATGTTAGTTGTCACCTTATTATTGGATGATGTTTGTGATTTTTTAAGAAAACTAGTTTTGGAGTGTTCGGTTGGCGAAAAAAAATAAGGAAATGAATTATAAGAAACCTATTTCCTGTAGTTTCTTGTTTTCTTTTGTTCGGTTCATTCTTAAAAATAAGAAATGAAATGAGATGAGATGAGTTGTCATTGTATTATTGGGTGATGTGAAGAAAGATTAAGAAAAGTGTTTTCATAACTTTTTGGGATGAAAATGAAGAAATGAAATGTTAATGAGATGAGGTGAATTGTTATAATATTTTATTGGATGATGTGAGTGATTTGAAATGATGAGAAGAGATGAGTTGAGTGATGTTTGGATGAAAATAATATTTTATTAGATGTGATGGATGAGTTGTTAGATGAAAATAATATTTTATTAGATGTGATGGATGAGTGGTTAGATGAAAATCATATTTTATTAGATGATGTGGATGAGTTGTTGGATGGAAATAATATTTTATTGGATGTTGTGGGTGAGTTTTAGGGATGGAAATGGAGGAAATGGTGAGTTTTGAGATTTTCACCATTTTCATTTCCATTTCTTGGTTTTTAGAAAACAAACGAACATGCCCTAAATGGAAAATGTGCAAATTTGTGATGTTTTACTTGTGTCATGCGTTACTGGGGGTGTACATTCGGGCCTAAGGCTCGGTGTCCGGCCCGAACCTGGTGGGGCCCGAACCCGGCCTGGGCTCGGGACAGGCTCTGAAAACCCAGGCCGACCGGGCTCCGAACCCGAGTTGTCTTAGTAAAGCGTGGGCCCGGACCGGTTATTTATAATATATATGAGAATATAGGATGGCTTGGTAACCGCAAAAACGTGTGCTTGATATTTGGTGTCAAATCCCCCTCACTTCATTCAGTTGTGGAACAAATTATCATGGGTAGTTGAGTGGATGGAAGATTGGGACACTTCACTCAGCACATTTTTTGTGCTTGGTACCAAGCATATCCTATTTCTCTCTCATCTCTCTCTCCTCTCTCTCTATATATATATATATATATATATATAGAGAGAGAGAGAGAGAGAGAGAGAAAACGGGAGGTGAGTTGACAGCGTAGGAAATTTCCTATGCTGTCGCCATGTGTCATATTCTCATTCGCTAACAGAGAAACGTTTTCAAACGGATAAATTAATAGTAAATGAAGGACCTACATGTAAAAGTGCAAATCAACCCCAAATCTCAGCTTACCTTTCCTAATTGACTCCACAAAATCAAAACTCCGCTGCCCCCTTACCAATCCTCACCGCCGCTTCCATCTTCTCCATCCTAATCCTCACCGCCGCTTCCATCTTCGCCATCCCAATCCTTACCGCCGCTGCCCCCTTCCATCTTCGTCGTCCCAAACCGCACTACCAGCTTCGCCATCCCAATCCTCACCACCGCTGCCCCCTTCAATCTTCGCCATCACAAACCGCATTGTCGGCGACGAACTCAAGCGAACCCAAAGTGAACCTCAGGTACTTTATCATTCGAAGAACGGACGCCTTTGCCGATCCTCAAAAGAGCTCGCCAAATCTCCTCACGCTAACTCCTCCATCAAACAAATTTCTAGGCATCCTAGACGGCTTTTTCCATCCAACATGCCTTTTTGGGTATGTATCATTTTATTGTAGATGAATTGAGATGGAAACTATTGTATCTTGTTTTCTCATGATCATGGGAAGAAATGCATTTCATTCTTTTCCATTATCAGTATAACCCAAATCTATCCATACAGCAACCAAAGCCTGAACAAAACCCAAAATTTTTATGCAGAATATAGAATATTAACCCAAAACTGTAAAAATAAAATAAAAGGAAGATGATTCTTCAATAGGCAAAATTTTAGCATCACAAAACTTTATTCTTTTACAGTCTCAACTTGATAAGGGGCTTATTCTTTAATTTTGATACTGGTTACAAAAACCGGGATGTACGTATACATGGACCAAACAGAGACATGAGGCTTGCACAGAAATTGAAGAATTAGCCTTACAAAGCATCATCAAGTACCAACAATTGCAAGCATTTCATGATCAATTCACCTTAATGTCAAATTTCCAAGCAGTTCATTATCAACTATCTCACAGTCTAAACTCCAAGCCAAATCTGTAAGTTTTGCACCCTGCACAAGCTCAATACACTTTTGCAGAAAGACTCGGCATGCTCATCAACATAGTAGTTCGACAAAATCGATACCTGTCATTATTTCAACATTTTAAGTTTACTGACAGTGGGAAAAATTAAGTTGATCCCTTTAAAAAAATAAAAATAAAAAACTTTCATTAACTAGATTGAATTAAGGAGTTGTCCAATTATGAGTTTATGAAAGTAATTAGCGAAACTAAAAGATCGATAAAGTACCCGAGGATCGGCGAAGGCGTCCGTTCTTCGATTGATAAAGTACCTGAGGTTCTCAAAGTACCTGAGGATCGGCAAAGGCGTCCGTTATTCGAATGATAAAGTACCTGAGGTTCGCTTTGGGTTCGCTTGAGTTCGTCGCCGACAATGCAGTTTGTGACGGCGAAGATTGAAGGGGGCAGCGGTAGTGAGGATTGGGATGGCGAAGCCGGCATTGCAGTTTAGGACGGCGAAGATGGAAGGGGGCAGCGGCGGTGAGGATTGGTAAGGGGGCATCGGAGTTTTGATTTTGTGGAGTCAATTAGGAAAGGTGAGCTGAGATTTGGGGTTGATTTGCACTTTTACATGTAGGTCCTTCATTTACTATTAGTTTATTCGTTCGAAAATATTTCTATGTTAGCGAATGAGAATATGACACATGGCGACAGCGTAGGAAATTTCCTACGCTGTCAGCTCACCTCCCATTTTCTCTATTTTATATATCATGTCATATATTTATAATATAATTAGCATGTATTAGTTAAGTAATACAAAAATGTTTAAAAATTATCTCAATTGCCTTCAAAGTGAAACAAAATTATTCTAATATGGAGGATGGGGTAAATTTTTACTACTTGGACAAAATTTTTGTATATGAGTGGGGTAATTTTATCCCAAGTGGTGAAATTGTCTCACTAGTGTTCCAAAAAACAAATAACATAAAAAGGTAATATCCTTGTTCCATTGTCCCAATAAATAACACTATGAAATAGAATCCCCAAAATTATCTCTTTATCCCCCAAATGTCCCAATGAATAACCCCCCCTAAGTAACAAATCTTGAATGTGCTGTAGAAAATGTCACAAGAATGTATAATGCAAATGGAAAGGAAGTAAAAAAAAAAAAAAGCTCCAAACAAATCACAGACAATCCACACAAGTGAAAAACAGCTCTATACAAATATTGATTCTCTTAAATATCCGAGTAAATATTTCCTTCTAATTTGTATGTGAAAGTGAAGTTTTATTCAGAAGATTTGTAAGTTTCACATCCTAGTAAATAATTTTTTTCCCGAACTATACATGGACTACTGAAACGTTCATTCTAAATTATACACGGAGACCGAAGTTTTAAATCCCACTGTCAACAGTCAACACACATCAACTTATACACTCAAGGAGTTCTCTAGTGCACCAAAAAACGAACGGAGAGGGTGTAGATGAAGAAATGAAACGATATCTACTTCTATATATACTTAAAAGTAGGATCCAAAGAGTTATTGTTTATGCTACAATAAATAGTAAAATATTTTACGATTTATACTACGTTATTTTGCTGTATCATAAACAGTAAAACAAATCAAATGTATTAAAACTTTGAATTTTTCTTTAAGTATAGAGGAGTACATATGATTTCTAAATCTAACGTATTAAAATTTGGATCGTTATTTAAGTATAGATGAGTAGATATGATTTTTAATTTTAACCATAAAATAATTAAACTAAATATATTAAAACTTAGAAAAAGACATGTTCAAAATGCAGTGCTTAAGAAAACAAGGGGCCGTGCTTTAGACGGGGTGCACACTAGTGACTAGCTATGACCGCATGCCTAGGGCAAAAGAAACCAATGCAAATCCAAACTGGATCGTACTCATGTACAATCCAAGCCCCTAATAGGTGAAAGAAGAAAATAAAAAAGAAAATTTCACCTTCAGTTTAGATTGCAGATAAAATCTTAAGCTTTAATAAATGTCACACTAGGTGAAGCTTTATTCAGATATCTGGATATACGGGCATGTCGAGGAGTCATAAACTGAAGAGTGGTGATAGGGGCACACCACAAACCACACTCTCCTCTCTCATTTGCTACAGTACACGGGGCCCCACATGAGATTTTAAATTTTTAAAATCTCATGTGGGCCCCATGTACTGTAGCAAATGAGAGAGGAGAGTGTGGTTTGGGATGTGCCCCTAGCATTTCTTTAAACTGAAATATACAGCTAGAAAAATGAAACCTCCAAAGATGCATGTCAAGACATTACAACCTCAATTAGTTTCGCGACGGTGACGAGCATGATCCACTGCATAATTTCTACAGAAAACTAGGGTCTTATATACAATAATGAGAAAGCAACGAAAGTCCAAAAAGACATTCTCCTAGTTAAGTTCAGGTGGATTTTAGGAACTAAAACAGCAATAAGAGTAATCTGACAAAACATTCCATTTCTTTATTAAGAAAGTGTCCCATAACTGAATGCCTGCAACATTAACAGAGCATCATAAATACAGTGGAGTTTACAAATACAGAAGACCTTTCAGGGACCCTTTTCCCCCCCTTCCCCTTTCTCAAATTTACCTTATTGTGTTGAAACGGAAATCAATGACAGAATCTACTGCAAGCTGAGGTAAATCCAATTGTCAACGTTAAATGGGGATGCGAGGCTTGAGAAGAGCCACGGCTTCTCTTATTTTCTTTGCCGCCTCTTGTAGTGTAGGTAGAGATGCTGCATATGACATTCTGATACATTTATCATCTCCAAAGGCATCCCCAGGGACGAGAGCTACCTGCAAAGACAAAGCCCAATAAACCGAGTAAGCTTATGTTTTCTATAGCACTCCTTACGAAGAAAGGTAACATTTTGAAGGATTATTTGCAGTCATTGTTTAACGCTCGTAGACTATGGACCACAGCAATTCTCCTGTTCGATTGAATTTCACCCTAAATTTGACTGAATAAAAGGCTGTATACCCTCTTAATTGAGGATGAAAACATAAAGTCATCTGAGGTTCAATGGATGCAAGTGTTAATAAAATAGTTTGGGGTTTTCCAAGATCAGCTTCTTGTATCTTTATTATTTTGAAATTAGTCTCTCAAATCATTGAATTTGCTACTGGGTGCCCCAGTTCTTATATCTTGCTACTGCTACACTCTTGAATGGAGGGATTAATTTGAAACAGCTTTATGAACAGAGGCACCTAATATCAATTTCAATTATTTAAGGGACTAATTTTGAAACAACTTATAATAATTGGGGACTTGTTGCAATTTCACTGATCTGGGGGACAAATTTCAAATTATTAAACATTTAAGGGAATAATATCGAAAAAAAACCCAAATAGTTCAGGCATGTACTAGTGACTACACCATCAGGTATAAAGAGTGTACCTGCGATTAACTTAAAAACAATCAAATATATATATCAAGACATTACCTGTCCCTTATCCAATAGGAATCGGCAAAGGGACTCTGAGTCCTTTATAGTCCCAAATCCTTCTACCTCCGCTCCATAGTAGGAACTGAAATCCATGAAAAGATAAAAGGCACCCTGCAGACATAAAATGATCTAAATTAAACCACTGCAAACTTGTGTAAAATAAAATAAATAAATAAATAAATAAAATATTTTTACCTTGGGTTCTGATATTTTTACGCCCTCCAACTCTCTGAAACTTTTCACGAGGAAATCTCGCCTTTCCTTGAATGCTTTTACCATGGTGGAAACTGCTTCACCGCCGGCATAACCTAGGTTTAGCGCTGCAAGTCCTGCTTTTTGGGAAATGCTACTGGCACCGGAGGTGGACTGCCAATTCAAGTTTTAGCTTGCAGGATTAGTATACAGCAACTAACAAAAATAGGCTTATTTTCGATCTCGTATCCCAAATTTACCTATTATTTCACTCTGATACCCCGAAGTACTTTTCAACACTTTGATATCCCCAAAGTTTCAATTCCATTCACTTTGATACCCCCATCCCAAATTTGTAAGATTTTCTATTAAATATTATTACATTTAGGCCAATTTTACCTAGTTGCTAAGGATCCAATCAACCAAATGTTCCGGTAGTCGTGGACGGGGATACCACATGCTTAACACGAGATATAAATTTAAGAAACATGGAAGAGGTATCAAAGTGAAATGGAATTGAAACTTTGAGGTATCAAAGTGTTACAAAAATACTTTGGTGTATCAAAGTGAAAAAATGAGTAAACTTTAGGTATCAGACCAAGTAATATAATTATTCCTTTTCTGGTATCATCAGCATGATGCCTTGCACATATCCCCTTTTTTGTGTCGAGAAAGAGGCGATGCATTATATGTCAAAGATACTGAAGATGAGTAGCTAAAGCAAGATGCCGATGCAATCATGTGGCTATAATATATGAAATTAACAAATGTGGACAAAAATGTACAGATTTTGATTTGATGCAAAATATAGGTCTATAGAACTGAGAAAGAAGAAGGCATACCTGGCTCTGGATCTTTCCACAAGCTGTTACAAAGTGTTTAGGGCCTGCAAGATATCCAAGTCGCCAACCAGTCATCGCAAATGCCTGCAAAAGTACCACATCCACATTTAGATCTCACCAGTATTGTTAATAATTCGAGGTGCCTTCAAAGATGATTCTTTTAGATGGAAAAAGAGCTGTAATATCAAAAGAGACCATATGGACTGCTAGGTACAACATTATTATTTGATGCAGTGAACTAGTCATAGAATGTTGAGTCCAAGTTGTTCTACATGTTCCCATTCATGTAATCGTGCATTAGATTTTTGTCATATTAGACCTTCAAATCGTTGTTAATTCTAAATTAGATGCTCAAACCTTCATATTTCTAAATTAGACCCCCAAATCTTCCTATTTGTTCGAAACGGAGGTCTTATTTAAAACAATTTAATAGGTTTGAGGGTCTTATTTAAAATGGCATAATAGATTTGGGGGTCTTATTTAAATCAAGTTAATCGATTTAGGGTCTAATATTAACAAAGATTAGGGGGTCTAGTGTAACTAAAACCCTTGTGCATTTTTGCTTATAATCTCTTACCTTAGAAAATCCATTCACAGTCAAGGTTCTTTCCCACATGCCCGGTAATGAAGCAAAGCTTGTGTGTTCTGCTGGAGGATATATAATATGCTCGTAAATCTCGTCTGATAAAACCTGAAATAAGAATAAAAATAAGGTCCAGAATCTTGACAAGAGTGCCAAACTGTGACATACTTACCAGAAGCCTTGGGTGTTTCCGAACTATATCAGCAATCTCCTCGAGCAACTTCTTGGGATAAACAGATCCAGTTGGGTTTGATGGAGAACAAAGAATCAGCAGCCTTGATTTATCATTAAGTCTTGATGCAACAGATCCAGTTGGGTTTGATGGAGAACAAAGAATCAGCAGCCTTGATTTATCATTAAGTCTTGATGCAAAGGACTCCGGTTTTAATAGAAAATTGTCTGATATATCTGTTGGCAGTATTACTGGTGTTGCATCAGCCAACCTAGCCATTTCAGGGTAACTGACCCAATATGGTGCTGGGATTATCACCTGCACAAAAGATGGTGTCAAGGATATATTAACTCATCAATATAGTGAGCATTTCAATGAACAAAAACAAAATGCAAATTTATTATGTATGCTGAAAGATGGAGAAAGTTTCAACATAATGAATGCCAAATAACCTAGGACTGTACGAATGGAGATCTATGAACGACTTGCAACTGTATGAGGTCAATTCAACAACTGTTTTTTTCTTCAGGCCTTGTTGAATGATTAGCATGCAAATTTCTTGGTTTTCTTTTGTTTGAAAATTGTGTGGATTATAATTCAAAAAGTTTGTTTACATGCCATATATTTATCTAGAAAGGCATTAACTCAATCATAACACCTTGACTTTTGTCTAGAAAGTATTTTTATATTGAAAGAGAGATCCTTCGAATTAAAAGATGGAAGGTCAATACTAGCCTTTTTTCATCAATAGGATTGAGCTACTTTATGAATTATAATCCTTGGGATTTTAGTCAAATTTGACAACCAAACAAGTGACTGGGTATATCCAAAACTGCCCTTAAAGCATCATATGCAAGCAGAAAAAGTATACTATTACGTAGTTTAAAACATAGAATTCCGGACAACAGTTGTTTTTCTTTCCGAAAAAGGGGACAATCGTTGATGATTCTTTCTGGCCAATAATTGATATTTTTTTCCGAAAAAGGAGATCAGCTGTCAAAGGTCCTATTTTTATTAATAGCCAAATGGCTAGTATAAGCATGATTACAAGAAATGATTTCCAAAAGAAGTAGCCCCGAAACTCCCGATTAAAATGGGAAAAGTTTTGGCTTATTTAACAATGATCAAATGAATGAATCTAACGAGAGAGCTAAAAGGAGATAGCAGCAAAGAAATGATATATTAGCAACTTAAAATAAACATATTGAAAGAAAATTTAAACAGCTTTCTTCAAAGAGGTAAGCAAAATAGTCAGACTTCACCTCATCTCCAGGTGAACAAACTGCAAGAACAGCTTGCATGATACACTGTTTCGCTCCATTGCTGACAAGAATTTGATCCGGTGCATAAGTCAAACCATTCTCCTCTGGAATCAAAATAAACCAACCAAAATTAGCTCTCAAAACGCCAAAGCCAATAAGTCAAACCATTCTCCTCTGGAATCAAAATAAACCAACCAAAATTAGCTCTCAAAACGCCAAAGCCAACCCATCAGCTAAATTCAGAAACTACTAACCTTGGAGTTTATGACAAATTGCTTTACGGAGCTCCAAAGTTCCAGCATTGGGAGTGTACCTTGTGTGACCTTCACGAATAGCATTTATCCCAGCCTAAACACCAATTTTCCCCAATGACAAATAAGAATGAAACCCGAAAGAAAAGCTCGAATTTTTCCTAAAAATTGTATAAATTTAGTTCTGAAAATAAAGATACACCAAATTTATTCCCTAAAAATAGACGTCAAACCACCATGCCAGCCTTTGAGTTACATGATGCTTTTACCTGCCAACAATGGTTGGTAAGTTTCTCATCTTTAGTTCCATAAATACTCAACTATGAATCCAGTTCTTAGAAAAATTTTATAAAGACCCAATACCAGTGCTAGATTCATGATTTGCTTTGGTTTATAGCATGATACATTGGATGGTACATGGTGTGTTTGTAGGCTTCATTTAGTTGATACGTCAACTGGTACGCACCAAAATTCTAAATATGATTCAACTCCCCTTTGTGATATGAGTTTTTGATTGGGTTATTTCGATTATTATGCATGTAGTACATGCTATTGTACAAGCATACACATTTAAGGAAATGTAATATTAAAATTATGATAATAATAATTTTCATCTTTTGGTATCTATAGAAATCCTTGTTATAGAAAAAATAATCAACTAGTTAATTCAATAATAAAAAACATGATGGACTCTAGTAATACATTGGAATAGCCAATGAATCAGTTAGTCACCACACTGCTTCCTTTATTTGTTTGTTCTCCATTTTTGGTTTTCCAAATCAGGATCGCAGAATAACCAGGTTGCCTGAGCACACTAACCAGGTTGCACGAGCTGGACCAGAGTTACAAGTAGTAGGCGTGAAATAGGTAAAGCACGTACATTTTTGCATATTAGGTAAGCTGTGAATTTCTTTTCCCCCTTTTTAGATTGTTCGTGTGTCACATATGAAGATATATTTCTCAAAAATTGAAACTAAGTTCTGTAGTATCCCCTAAACAAAAGTAACTATTCTATTTTTTTCCTCATGAAAATATTTGTGTATATGGAATTTATAAGAGGTTTTTAGGCAAAATTCACAAATCGTTACCATGAGCTGTCAAGCCATGGTTTAACTTAGCTTCATGGCAGTTACCCGTTGTGAAGTTTGGACGGCACCTACCGATTCAAAAAATCATCTTATCCTTCCTTGATTCTTTGTTGAAGGTTGAGCATATTGTGAGAAGACAGAGTGAGAGCTATGTGATATGAAGTGCCAGACTTGACACGTGCGTGAGATTTGTCTTGTGAACGGGTCGATGCTGTGGCTTAAGCCGTATACATTTTCCGTTGTTGTTTTGGGGCGTGACAAATTCCAAATGTGGAGGCACACAAAATTTATTTACAAAAATAGACTTCTTATCACCATGTTAGCATTTCAGCTACGTGATGCTTTTTTCCCAACTACGTCTAAAAAAGTTTCTCATCTTTGGTTTTGCAAATACTCGACTATGAATTGGATTCTTAGACAAATTTCACACTATCCAGTATCAATGCAATTGGATTCATGATACGCTTTGGTTTATAACATGATACCTTGGATGTTATAATGGGCTGTAGGTCATCTAGTTGGAATGTTAACTGGCAATGTCGCACACACCAGAATTCTAAGTATGATTCATTTTCCCTTGTTACAGGGGTTTTTGATTGGGTACTGCAACTATGAATACATTTAAAAACAAATTGGATTCCAAAGTGTATTATTTTATTTAAAATTTGTATGATCGTCACAGAGCTTCTATGGAAACAAATTTCCTGACAAGTGAGAGTTTTATTCACTGCAAGCCCATGGTTGCCATCAAATATGCTAACCAAGATAATAATAAAAAAGATCAACACCTTACAACTTGAATTATCATCAGCGAAAGAGTTAATGATCAAAATGCTCGAAGAAACAGAGAAGTAACTACCTATCTATTATGCAAAATGTTAGTTTTAAGCACAGTTTCACATGTCAGCTTAATGTAACAGTTGCCTAAGCATGACTTATGTCCATTTCACAAATATATGTAAAAGGCACATGCACACCAAGGTTAGACACTTGAGGCACACACGGACACCAATGTTGGAAGTTTCAATAAGATCCAAATTCCCTTTTCTAATAATGGCACCAACATACTCACACCAAGGTTCAAAATTTCAGAAAGTTCCAAATTTCCTCTTTTTTTTCTGAATCAGCGAACATTTGCATGCATGTACAAGGTTTGGAATTTTGGTACATTTTGGATTCCCTTTTCTAGAAGAACTGCAAGCCCATGTTTTAAATCGGAAGTCTCGGACCGACAATATCAATGACTTCAAAACTTTCAAAAAAATTCCAAAAGATAATTGAAAACTGCCAAAAGATAGCAAAAGAACTAGCAGCCCTTGTTTGATGAAATTTAGGTTAGGATTCAACTGAATACTGTATGGTAATTAATTTATTTAACAACAAATATTCTAATTAATTAATAAAAATAAATTTAATCAATCTAATTATTTTGACAATGAAGGGAAAGATCAAGTCAGATAACAATATGATCTATGTAATTAATTCGTAAATAAGTAAAGTATAGATAAAATGTATTAACTTGTGTATTTGTAAAATTAAAATTTTCAAATTTTATTAGTAGAAGAGGGAATACATTTATGTAGATAAGTCCTAATTATCCAAAATAGATATTTAAAGAGATTGCATATAAAAGTAACCTCCAAACCCCCCTCCTTCCCTCTCTACTGGTACCCACGTTTTGCTTTCCTCTTATGGAACACAATATACTCTAAACATTCTATTAAAATGTCATTTCACCAGAAGTATACATTTCAATGTATGTACAACTGAAACACCAAAATGAATAAATCTCGACAAAGCCTATGACTTCTCAACTAGACACAAGGAATTGGCAGAGGTTCCCATGGGGATTTAAAGACCCGGTCCACTAAGGGTGACATTATCACCCAATTCTTCCTTGATATATACATATATATATACACCATAAACAAGTTTATACGATAGGAAACATCTAAATTGTGTTCGTGCAAGAGAACTGTTAACTGTTATATACGGCGTCTATGTATTCCTCATACTTTCCTTGGAAAGTAAAACCCTCTTAAATTTTATTTCACACCTATGACGTTATTTCGCCACCAAAACTGAGCTCCTTAGCCTAAAAGAACGGAAAAGTGACATATGCAGGATTGTGGTCACAAAAATTTATGTACAATTGCACATCAGACATAATTTTATTTGTATGGTAGTAGTATTTACAAAGGAATCATATGCGAAGAACCTATCTTCTGAGGCTACCTTCACAACTCAAACGTAGAAATAAGATAGCAACGGAAGCACTCCGCTAAATAATCATAAAGAAAGGGAGGTGCTACAGGCACACCACCGTGACACCCTCAGCCACGCTCCCTCTCCTGCTACAGTGCAGGGCCCCACTAAAAATCTCATGTGGGCTCCTCCTCTATTATTTTTCTTTGTATAATAGATAAGTTAACAATGGCCGTACGAATACTTGTACTAATCATAAACAAGCGGCAGTAATTCAACAAACTATTAAATAAATAAATAAATAAATAAAACACCTCAAGTTCGAGGAATTAACCAAAACCCACCTCAGAAATGGAACCGGGGGTATTGAAGTCGGGCTCCCCAGCGGCCAATCCGATAACAGGAACCCCAGCCTGAACAAGCGCGGTAGCCTGATCGGTGATCGCCATGGTCTTCGAGGGTTTGAGAGAGCTAACCCTAGGGCTCACTGACGGATCCTCCATCTTAACCTCGGATCTAATCACAGCCCTCGACGCCAAAGCTCTCCTCTTTGGGAATGAGACGGATCTGGGGGTTAAAAGGGTTGAGGATGACCGAGAGAGGGATCGAAGAGGGGTCGCGGACGAGGATTGAGAAGAGAGAGAGAGGGAGGATTCCATCGAAGAATCGAAGAAGATGGATTTCGAGGATGGGACTCATCTCTCTCTCTCTCTTTACTTACTTATTTATTTAAAGGAGGGATTTTTTTTTTTTTTTTTTTTAAAACCTACCAATCCTACCAAACCCTTTTGCTCACCAACCCCCAAACACTTTGGTTTGAACACTTTCTTTATTATTTTCATTTTATTTTTTGACCAGAAAAAGGGAAGAAAATGTGGAGACTACATCGAAGAAGCCGCCATTAGGAAACCAACCTCTGTGTTTTAATACTCAAAATATCATAAACTGAAGCTTAGTCTAGTTTTAGGACAAATTTTCAAAACCGACCCCTTTGGGTTTTTAATTGCAAAAAACGAACCATTTCAATCTTATTTATAAAAACCGACTCAGTTGGTTGAAACTGGGTCGGTTTTTGAATTTTTTTTCCCAAACTTTTGTTATGAGAAAAACTTCACGGGAGTTCAACTCCCGTGAAGTTTCCCAAAAAAAATAAAAAAACCGACCTGTTTTCAGCCCCTGGCTGAAAACAGGTCGGTTTTTGTAAATATTTTCAAAACCGGTCGGTTTTTGCAATTAAAAACCCAAAGGGGTCGGTTTTGAAAATTTGTCCTCTAGTTTTAATACTCTCATAGCTGAGGAGTTTTGTTGGAAGAAAAGAAAAGAAAGATGGGGAATCTTAGTTATTTTCTTGAAATAATATGAGACTATTTTCAGGGTCAAAACTGTATTTCCGTGGGTTTCGAAGGGTGTCCTATAAAATGATATTAGTGTGCACCTCGTGCAAAGCACGACCTTTATTTTTTATTTCCTCTACAGTAATTATGTATTTAAATACAGCTTTTGTAAGTGATACAATAATATTTTTTAAATGTTACAGTATCCCGCCCTAAGCTACAGTGATAATGCTACAGTGATGTTTTGAAACACTACAGATCCCGTCTGTGCTATAATTTTTTTATTGTAGCATGAATAGTGAATATTGGACCCTCCTGTCTGCGATATAGTAATAATGCTACAGCAATTAGCTGTAGCATTACTGTAGCATGAATAGTGATCTTGGATCCTCCCATTATTATAGAGGAATAGATGTGTTTTGTTTGTTTGTTTGTTTTGGCATTGAAGCTTGAAGAGGAATTGCCTATTACAACATTCGTTTGTGGGCTGACAATCGAAAAATAGGAAACGAGAATGATGGAAGTCAAATAATAGTTTTGCATCCAATTATCTAATTGGCAAAATAATAGCTTTCCACCCAATTCCGGCCTAAAAGCTTGGAATCCGGTTTCTTTAAAATGATGATAAATGTGACATATCAAGAAACCCAAGGCCTCCTTTCCAAACGAAACCAAACTAAGGAATATGAAACAAGTTTGGGAGAATTGAGGGTTTTCTGCATATATTTGGGGAGTTTTCTGAATTTTTTAGGGCTTTCAGCTCGAAACAAACAGTCCCTTAGAAGAGAAAGGGGTAAAACTCAGTGGCTTGATTGTCAAGAGAAGAATGCAAAGGACTCTTTGAAGAGATTGGTAAAAGTTAGGAACTTTATTGTTAAGAACATGTTCGGTTGGTTTTCCCACAATTATGGGAAATATATTTTCAACAGAAAAAACTCTTTTTTATGAGTTTCCTAAGATTTCCTAGAAAAGTTAGTCTCATGTTTGACTCGCTCATAAAATAAGGGTGGAAGTGAGTTTCCAAGTGAATCTATTGCTTGTTTCACAAAATTAGAGTAGGGGACCATGTAAAAAATATAAGTTTTTGACTTTTATGTTGTTTGGATGGAAAAACCCAACATAAGAAAAAATGAATCAACACACCATGATGAAGTTACCATTCATATATGACAAAGGGATTCAGGTCCTCTTTAATTAAGTAGTAATTAGAGAGTCTCCAATTCTTCTAATCATTACCATATATTCTAAACTCAGTGGACAAAATTAGGCCATAAGATGAAAGCACAATTATCTTGAAAATTAATATTTTTTGAAAAACCACTATTCTTTAAAAACCACTATCACAATAGAGGAGTCCTACATGACATAATCTCGTCCGTTGAATTTACAATGTACTGCAATGATTGAAGAAAATTGGAGACTCTTTAATTACCACCTATAATTGGAGAGGACTAAATCAAAGACAAAGTGTTATGTCTCTCTAAAATAAGGGTAAACATACCAATGAAGCATTTAATAATTAACATTCAAATCTTTATGTGTTATGAAACAGTCCCCAAATCTTTATAATTTGAAATTAGCTGGGGACCTTGAAACATTTAGGGGACTAATATGGAAATAATGGAGCGTTAAGTCAGTAACCATAAAGACTTGTCATTTGTTTCAAAAATAATAATAATAATAATAAAATTGTTGTAATCTTATTGTTATATCTACATACATCATATATATCAAAAGTAAGAATCAAACATGAAATATAAATGTAAATAGACAAGAGAAGAGATATGGAGAAAAGTGATTTTTATTTTATTCATCTTCCTCATTCCTCTATACATTTTGTAGTCCATGACATACATTATATAGATGGATAATAAGAAGACTAAAGGAGATGGGCTAATGAAGAGTCACCTAATTAATTATTCATATTCAAGTAATGTTCACATTCATCTTATCTTCTAGATTTCAACACTCCCCTTTGGACATTACTACGTGATGTCAACGCCTCGTTAAAAACCTCGCTAGAAAAACCCAATGGGAGAAAAACTAGTCGAGGAAAAGAGTACACGACATAAGTAGATTCTTGTGTTGTATTGGTTGCCTCATTAAAAATATTTAGCTAAGAAAACTCTGTGGGACAAAACTTAGCAAAGGGAAAAAGAGTACAACTATAGACCTTCAAGACCCAATCTTCGGGATTGTCTTGAAAATTCGCTCCCCCTGATGAAGACAATCTTCTGAGTGTATGCTAAGAAAAACCTAGTAAGACAAAACTTAGCAAAAGGAAAAAATATGACGATAGACCTTCAGGGCCTAATATTCAGGATTGTTCTTTAAGAATTTGCTCCCCCTGAAGACGATAGTCTTCCAAGTCTGCACATACCAATATTGTGAACATATTTCTCAAAAGTTGATGTAGGCAGAGATTTGATAAACAAATTTGCAAGATTGTCACTTGAGCGAACCTTTTCGATGGTGATTTCGCCATTCTTTTGGAGCTCATGTTGATAAAAGAATTTTGGCGTAATATGTTTTATCATGGTTCCTTTTACATATCTACTGCTCATTTGTGCAATACAAGCTGCATTGTCCTCATAAAGGATAGTGGGGGTAATATCGTCTTTCGCTAGACCACACGAGCCACAAATGTGTCGTATCAACGATCTCAACCATACACATTCTCGTGAGGCCTTATATAAAGCGATAATCTCTGAGTGGTTAGAAGAAGTAGTCACCATGGTCTGCTTAACATACCTTCAAGAAATGACAGTACCACCACAGAGAAGAACATAACCAGTCTGGGATCTGGCGTTATGGGGATCAGACATGTAGCCAGTGTCCTAATAGCCCACTAATGTCATATCTTGGTTTTTTTTATAGAATAGTCCAAGATCTTTTGTACCTTGAAGATAGCGAATGATATGTTTAACGCCATTCCAATGCCTCCTTGTAGGAGAATCACTATACCTTGCTAGCAAGTTCACTGCAAATGCAATATCACGCTTGGTGTAATTTTCGAGATAGAGAAGTGCTCCAATGGCGCTCAGATAGGGAACTTCTGGCCCTAACACTTCTTCATTATCTTCTTTGGGTCTAAATGGGTCTTTATCCACTTCGAGTGACCAGACGACTATTGGTGTGCTAAGTGGATGAGATTTATCCATATAAAATCTTTCCAAAACCTTTTACACGTAGGTTGACTGGTGTAGGAAAATTCCTTCTCGGAAATGCTCGATCTGCAAGCTGAGACAAAACTTGGTTTTTCCCAAGTCTTTCATTTCAAACTCTGTCTTTAGGTATGAGATAGCTTCTGTAAGCTCCTTGTGCGTTCTAATAACATTTATATCATCAACATAGACTGAGATGATACAGAAGCCATTTTCGGATTTCTTTATAAACACACAAGGACAGACATTATTATTTGCATATCTCCTCTTCAGGAGGAACTCACTCAGTCGGTTATACCATATTCTACCCGACTGTTTCAAGTCGTATAACGACCTTTGCAATTTAATGTTATACATGTTGCGATTCTCGTTTTCTCTCAATTCAGTAATCTTAAGTCCATCAGGGACTTTCATGTTAGACCCTAGAGGGGGGGTGATTAGGGTCTTATGCTAATCTAATTCCAATTAAAAGCTAATTAAAATTATATAGATCAATATGTTCTTGCAGGAGATAGATATGAACAATAAGAACAATAAGAATATGCACAAATAAATTATGAGACAAGCAAAACACAAACACATGATATGTTTACGAGGTTCGGTCCCCACGACCTACGTCCCCGCTCCTCACCTCGAGGAGATATCCACTATCACAATCCGGTTTGGAAGCCGGAACTTCTACACACTCGGTTTACAAGTTCACCGAAAACTCTCACATTACACAAACCTCTCCCTAGGTTCATCAATTGACGCCACTCCTATTGGATTTGACCCCGTCTCTCTCTCCTCACACTTCTCTCGATGTACAAGTGTATTACAAGTGATTCTCACAAATAAAGGTTAAATACAATGATTTGTTCTCAATTAACAAGTGAGAACACAATGAAGCTCACACTCACTAAATCACACCCCACAACCCACAATATATAATATTGAAATATCAAGCTCAATAAGTGTGTGTGATAATAGTGAATAAAACTCAATAAATAACTTATCAACAAGTGTGTGTTAATAGTGAATGAAACTCAATAAATATAATTCAATGAATATAGCTTAATCAAATGAAAGTGAAATAATAAGCTATATATAAGGAAGAGTTTAGAAAAACTTCTCAATGAACAAGAAGAGCTGATGATTCCAATAGGGTTTGAAAGCCTCTTCTTGTTGTAGAAAAACTTCTCTTGAAAACAGATTGATGAAACAACTCTTAAACAGCTCTTAAACG